GGGGGGGGGGGGGGGGGTAGTGGTGATGAGGCGGTGGGTGGGGTGGCAACGGTGAAGATGATAGTGGTAGTGGTGATGATGGTGTGGGGGTAGTTTGGCGATGGGGTGGTGGTGGCGGTGGTGGTGGTGGTGGGGGTTGGTGCTGATGGTGGTGGGGCGATAGGAGTGATGGTGGTAGTAGTGGTGAGGTGGTTCCAAACACTACTTTTAAAAAATATATATATATATATATATTTATGAGAAATTATAAGTATTAAAAGCACTTTTAAAAAGTTATTTCAAACATTCTTAGGGGTTTTTTTCCTTATTAAATTTGGAGTGTTAATATTAGTCATTTGATTAACTTTAAAATAAAATTGAAAGAGATCTCAACTGTGAATAACAAAAGTCATTTTGTTTATTTTTTGAGATTTGAATTGTATTATACTTTATTATATGGATGATTCAACTTTTTAGTTGTAATACTAGATAGAGGATTAAAATGGATAAAAATTAGATCAATTTTAACCGTTGTTGTGCTTTTNCAAGAATTACATCAAAAAGAAGTAAAAATATGTTTGATGATTATTTTGGATTAGTAGTACTTTTGATCCCTAAAGTATACGCGTAAAATATGTTTGATAATTATTTTGGATTAATAGTATTTTTCGTCCCTAAAGTGTACGCGTTTTATCAATTTAGTCCTTAGTATATGAATTTTGTCAATTTGATCTTTAAAATATTTATTTTATGTTTAAATGGCTCCTANTTTATATACATACTAACAATAACCTTGTATCTGAAGACACTGTGTAGTACAAAAAATTGATCATTGGTCGTACATTATTTATATTTTAAAAAAATAAATTTTTTTTTAAAGTACGCAATATAAAATTAAAGCGAAGATGATCAGAGAAGAGGAGTTTGGTTGCGTTGTCTAACACTGGGCCCTGCAAATCAGAGAAGATAGTGTTTTTGAGCGAAAAAAAAATAGGATGAACTTTGGACCATTCGATATGAAATTAAATTAATTTTAATCGTTGTTGTGTTTTTATAAGTTAAAAATTTAACTTCCTATATATATTTGAAACATCGTTTGTTTTTACATTGTGGTTTTCTTCGTTTTCTTGCATTTTCGAGGCTTAACACTTCCTCTAATCTCTACTCTATGTGCAATAATAATGTATAAATACACGTACGTAACTGTATTATTTATATTTGAAATTCCATCTATAACACTTTTGCAATATATAATAAACATGTTTTTTTTTTGGCTGAAAATTTCATAAAGACTTCTAATATATAATCACAATTTCAGGTCCGAGATGAACTTGAACATGTACTAAACGATGATATGGACATGACGGAAATGTACCTCACTGAAAAGCTTGTTTTCGGGCAAGTCGAAGAGTTGAAACCAGTCGATGAAATTGAGAACAACGCAAACATACAAGATGATAGCATGTAAGTTTCGATACCTCAATGTATGATGTTATTATCGATTATGAATAGAGAAATGAGTCGAGATATCGAGCTAGAATGAGCCAATAGAAAAACCCCCACCCACAATTTGCCCGTTTGTTAGGCTAGAATGATCCAATAGAAAAAAGCTACTCACGATTTGCCCGTTAGTTTAACTTGTACTAATACTCAACGATATTTAGAGTTTTTTAGTGAAAAAATATAAGTGATTGCGGACTTTATATATAAGTCTTGTGAATGACGTTTTTATACATAACTCAAAATTCAAAATCAAATAAAAAACTTGACTCATCATTCTCAAGGGTAGTTGGGAGCCCGTTTGGCCAAGCTTTAAAAGCCAACATCTAAGTAATGTTTGATTTAGTTCATAGTCTCATAACATATGTCATATTTTGAGAGACGAAGAATCATAAATTAACCCAATTGAAAGGTATAAAGCAACAAATATTCAAATTTAGATTATGATTACGGGTGAGATTGACTTGGTGCAACGATAAAATTATTCTATTATAACATGTTAGAGTTGTCTCTACATTAAGCATGTTCACCATAGTATTGCTGGTATGGTAGGGACAACAAAAGCAGCATGGTGAACATAAACACTCAAAAGCCAAAGATTGGAGCTTTGGAGATGTTACTAGAAGCATATTTTGTCCAAATGGAGGGAGCACTAAGCAGATTGTCAAATGTAAGTTGCATTATTTCTATTTTTTTGGCAACAAGTTTTTTAAGTAAAAACAAGAATTACATCAAAAAGAAGTAAAAATATGTTTGATGATTATTTTGGATTAGTAGTACTTTTGATCCCTAAAGTATACGCGTAAAATATGTTTGATAATTATTTTGGATTAATAGTATTTTTCGTCCCTAAAGTGTACGCGTTTTATCAATTTAGTCCTTAGTATATGAATTTTGTCAATTTGATCTTTAAAATATTTATTTTATGTTTAAATGGCTCCTAACTAAACAGTCATGTAAGTTTTTTAATGGAAGTGATCATGTATCATTTTTTCATGTGACCACACATGATCACTTTCGTCAAAAACTAAATAAATCATCTATGTAGAGACCATTTAAACACAAATTGAATACTTTATGGACAAAATTAATTCAATGAGGACCAAACACGCATACTTTAGAGACCAAAAATATTATTAACCCAATTATTTTATAAAAGTTAATCTATATATATGCATATCAGTATAAAATATATACTTACATATGTTCATTTCTAGAGGTTTAGTGGTTGAGTTTAATATTTGGTAATCCAGAGGTCTCAGGTTCAATACCTTCTCATATCCCCTAAAGGTTAGTCCCTCTTATCCTTTTAGGGACATGCTCTAACCCAACTCAAGTCACAGTGGTCAGCTGCTGAGCATGAGAGAGTAATCGACATAAACTTGAACATCTAAAAAAAAAATAATACATACAATTAAGCTCTAGAAAAAAGAGAGTATCTCGAGCAAGGGAAAAAAAAAAAATTCTGGTCTCATGACTATCTTTTTTACGCTTGAGTGAGCTCTTTGAACCTAATTTGTTAATCTAAGTTGCTGATTAAATCACTATTGTTATTCGATTGACGGTGAGCCCCGATAATGATTGGGCCCGTTACCAATTGAAAAGTGAGAATAGATTTATTAGTTAATTAAGTTAGCAAAGTAGGTGCAAATAGTATTATTGTTTATGGTTTCAGAAACTCATTTGTCACTTTTTAAATCTATCATACCTTCTTTCATATATGTTTGTTCTAATGCTTCTATCTTTCTCTTGTGACAAAGATGAGGGAATATGTTGATGATACAGAGGACTACATCAGCATCATTTTGGATGACAAACAGAACCAGTTGCTACACATTGGGATTATGTTAGGTACCACACTCATTGTGATGCATTTGGGCATGGCTGTCATTGATTCTCTCAACATGAAAATCCACATCTCCGTCTACGATGGCGTCAATAGGCAGTTCAATGAAGCTACTGCGGGCATCGTGGGTGGTTGTTTATGCTTACTTTTTGCGGCCCTCCTACTTTTGAAGACAAAAGGATTGCTAGGATGAAGGATCTGTATGCACGCTCTCGGGAATCAACCTTTATGAAGATTATAGCCTATTGTACGAGACTCCTATAGACCTATTTGTCTAAAAGGCAACCCAATTTCTATCATGACTTGTTCTCACTAATCTCACGAAAAAAAAAAAACAAATATTGATACAATAGTTATGAACTCTTTATTCATAAAGCTGAGAGAACACAGTTATACTTGTATAAAACATGTGCATGCAGTGACAATTCCAACATAATCTATGCAACACCATTATGTTGAGGAGTTTCTTCCTCTACACTGTAGTGATGAACAATACCTTAATTCCCACAGAGCTCTTTCAAATACCCTTGAACAGTATTTGGAACCATTATCGGTCTTGAGCCGCGTAATTTTGTTCATCCGTTGATCAATTAATCACGATATCTATTAAACCGCAATGTACTCTAGAGAAAATATAACTTAAGTATTCATAAACTTCAATAATGTCTGTTGCTAGAACTGCCCAAACACGCTTGCGCTAGCTTGATAGAAAGGGATGGATTGCCAAGATGAGGCCAATATCTGGCAACTATCTAATGAATGTTCAAGTGTTATCGCGTTCGTGAAAGCCATAAATTGAGTCAAGTCTCCGAGTACTAAGAAAGCCATAAATTGAGTCAAGTCTCCGAGTACTAAGATATCACACGTGGAAGTCTTACATGGGAGGAGAAAAGAAAAATATTATGCAAAAATCTCTATATCTTATAAACGAGTTTACATTTCATGGAGATTTAATTTTTAGATTAGTTTGAGTTTTACGTAAATGGAGACCACGTTATCCTTCAAGGCCTCCCAACCTCCACCTTTATGTGTTTTTTAACTACGACAATGGTGAATGGTTGGCAACAACTCTGCGCGTGAGAAAAAAGAAAACTAAAAATTGTTTAATTACACCATGGATGAGTTCATTATAATTATGAATGGATAAAAAATTATAGTTTTTAATTACACCTTAGATGAGTTCATTATAATTATAATTGGGTAAAATATTATAGTTTTCTAAGCTATTCTTCTAGTGACGCATTCGATTTTCCATTGATTGGAGTGAGTAGTTGTAAGTATAAATATTAAATTCAGGCTTACATACCATGTGCGTGGTTGCTGACAAGAGAGGAGAGAGAGAAGAACATAAGATGGATTGATCCTGTTTTTTAACCAAAGCCGGGTTGTCAAAAAAAAATAAAAAATGGAGTTGTTGAATTCGCTTTTTAATAAAAGCAGAATTATTGATTTCGCTTTTAAAAAGTATCGTAATTTAGTAAATAACTTCAAAAAAATTGTATTTTGATATTAAAATTTCAAAATAATTGTGTTTTGATAATAAATTCAGATGGATAGAGTGTTTGTGAAACTATGAGAGAGAGAGAGAGAGAGATTTGTTTGAGACGAAGATCAGAAAGTGAAATCACAATGGAGATCAAAATTGAATTATCGAAAAAAATTAAATTGTTTGAACTTTTAAATCAAAATTGGGCTAATGTTACTTTGCATTATGAAATATGCTTCGATTTTTAATTTATACCCTCAAATATTAAAAATCTTAATTTATATATTTTTTTTGTCATATTAATTTGTACCCTCAATATTATGAATTAGTAGAAATTTTGACCTTGTCTAGACTACTATTCAATTTTTTATCATAAATTGAAGTTCGTGAGTTGTCAGTGTTTCGGTCGTGCGCTTATGTATAAATTCATATACTGTTGACGCCTCATGAGAGTTATACATGATAGACTTAGCTACTATTTGATTAACGACATTTTATTTTCAATACATAAAACAATGTTAAAGTGATCGTAGACGAAGATCTGCAGCGATGAACACACCTCATCCTCGTACCGCTTACAATTCATGTGCTTCAATTTATGACACAAAATTAAATGATAGTCTGGACGAGGTCCAAATTACTGTCAATTCATAACATTGAAAGTATAAATTAAGATTTTTAATGTTAGAGAATACAAATTAAAAATTAAAATATTTTTTGGAGTACAAACTGAGATTAGCCGATCAAAATTGGATTAGTTTAAATTTTAGTACTCACTAGTTGGCAGTTGTATCCTCTTTTGCGACTTTATGCAAACACCTTGTCTGCAAGACAGATAGACTATATACTTGTATAATAGAATCCTAGTTCACCTGTATCAGTTGGGTTCTAGCAAGATGCATACTGAACCAGAGTTCACCTCTCTCTCTCTCTCTCAGGTCCTAAAAAACAAATCCCACATCAATGAAGGGTCAAATCTTTTTTTATTTCATCTCCAGAACCTTAAATTTCAACCCCTTTTTTCGATACCCACCACTTCAACTCCATATCATCACCTGCAAATTTGCAGGATCCGATGGAACAAAATCGGCGCGTACCCTTTCCACCTCAAACAAGGCGTGCGGACTCCGGCGCCGGATCAAAGGCTTGGCTCGTTGTCTCAGAGCACGGAAGCTCGAATGTCGATCTCGGAAAAAATCAGATTATGCGCCTGACTGGAGTCTCGGCCCACGACTTGAGGGTCCTTGAGCCGGAGCTTGCGTACCCTTCGACGATACTTTGCAGAGAGAAGGCAATTGTTGTCAACTTGGAGCATATCAGAGCAATCATAACGGCCAATGAAGTCTTTGTTCCGAATCCGATGGACCCAACTCTTGAATCTTTTGTTTGGGATCTCAAATGCAAGCTTTCGGTTGTGAGTGTTTTGTTATGTTGTTTTTCAATAGTATTGGATGAACATGTGAAAACTTTTTGTCCAATGGGCAAAGTCAATCCATATTGCATAGAAAAATAAAATCACGATGTGGTATACTTGAACCATCGAAGAAGGAACAATTGTTAATAGAGAAGTATCATTGATTATGTTGTTAATTATGTGAAGGCTACCATGGAAAGTTGTAAGGCTATGGAGGAATCACCCTCTNATGTTGTTTTTCAAAAGTAGGTGAACATTGTGTTAATATTATTGAAGTTGTTAGTTTAAATTTAATTTTTATTCTGCTACAATTGATGTTCTGCCTATCAAAAAGAAATAAAATTTGATAAATGGTGTTTGGATCTGCATCAGTCTGTGCTTAATGCATATATTTTGATAATCATAGGCGTTTCTTGGCCGTTGAGAAAATAAAATTTTCTTGGTACCTAAATAAAATTTTCTTGTTTTGTAATCTTAGACTTGTCAATACTTGTGACGTTAGAGATATAAAAGATAGAAAAATTATGGCTGAGTAAGCAAAATTATAATTAATACTAATTCTTTGAAAGTTGTACATGGTGTACAAGTCTTACCCCATTTTGTAGGGGGGTTAAATTCAATTGAAATATCTCTAACGGAAGTGTGTGATGGTGTGAGATTTCGTAAAGAAATCTGTCAACTGCATAGTAGAAGGAAGAAAAGAGAGACATATCGTGCCCAGCTGAAGGTGATGACGCACAAAGTGACAATCAATTTCAATATGCTTTGTGCGCTCATGAAACACCAAATTATGGGCAATCTAAATTGCATTGATGTTATCACAATACATGGGAGTAGAAGTAGACAAGGAAATGCCAAGCTCAGCAAGTAGCCAACGTAACCAAATGATCTCTGTTGTTGTGGAGGCCATAGCACGATACTCAGCTTCAGCAGATGATCGAGCCAGAATAGTTTGTTTCTTACTTTTCTACGAAATAAGATAATTACCAAAAAAGAGACGGAAACCAGTAGTGGACTTGCGATCCATAGAGTTACCAGTCCAGTCTGCATCAAAGTAAGCGCGAAGTTCTAGAGACGATGAGGAAGAAAATAATAATCTCTGATGCAACGTACCCCGCAGATATCGAAGAATCTGAAGAACGGCAGACCCGTGAAGTGTAGTAGGAGCAGCAACAAACTGACTAACCATATGAACTGCATAAGCAATATTTGGACGAGTAACAGGAAGATATACCAAACTCCCAACAATAGTATGAGATAAGGTAGGATCAGGCAGAAGAGAACCATCAGAGGAAGTATAACGAACATTGAGCTCTAAGGATGTGTCAGCCGTTCGAGTATCCGATAAGCAAGTTCGTTGAATAACATCTGAGGCATATTTTGACTGCGAGAGAAGATAACCTTTAGGAGAGGAAGCAACCTCAATCCCTAAGAAATATCAAAGTTGACCCAAATCTTTCATCTCAAAATAATCCTTTAACTCTGAGTTTTCAACAGTTAAATTTCATCGTTGTCATCACCTGTTATAATCATGTCATCAACATAAAGTAATAGAAGAATGAAACTAGAAGAAGTGGATCGAAGGAAGAGAGTAGAATCATGATCACTAGTATGGAAACTTAAGTCACATATGACTGAAGAAAATTTTGTAAACCATGCCCTCGGAGCCTGTTTAAGGTCATATAAAGCCTTGTGAAGTCTGCACACATGACAAGGACTATGAGGTAACCTAGGAGGAGGAGTCATATAGACCTCTTCAGATAAATCACCATGAAGAAAAGTATTGTTCACATCCATCTGAGAGAAGATCCACTGACAAACAGTTGCCACAACAATTACTGTACAAATCGTGGTCATCTTAGCCACCGGAGCAAAAGTCTCATCGTAGTCAAGCCCATACTCTTAAGCAAATCCTTTGGCTAATAATCTAGCCTTGTACTTTTCCACAGATTCATCAGATTGAGTTTTGATTTTGTAAACTCACTTACAACCAATTTTGCATTTACCTGGACGTAAAGGCACCAACTCCCAAGTTCGAGTCTTATGTAAAGTAGAAAGCTTCTCATCTATAGCCTGTTGCCAAATAGGATCAAGTATAGTCTCCTTATAGGAGGTTGGTTCAGACAAAGAGTGTATAGAAGTTAGAAAAGAACAAAAATCAGAAGAATAACAAGAGTCGGACCAACCAAACCTGTCAGGACACTTCCGAGTGCGCTGAGGGTAGCGGAGAGTGTGATTCACAGTGTTAGAATTTGATGGGAGACAGGAGATTCGGATGAAGGCACATCATCTG